ATCAAGACGAAATGTAGTAAATTGGGAAGAACTTCATTATCGACCAAACTATGGTAATATATTTTTTAACAAAAAATTTTTAGTTTTTAATAATTAATTATAATTACAAATCTTGTCCACTTTTTATTTCAGAACACAATGCTTGTGTAAAGAGTCAAGCAGTATTCTATCAAAAGTAAAATTTAATTTAATTTTACTACATTCATCTAAATATATGTCAGATATTTTTTCATTATTACATATATCATTACAGTGAAATACGTAAAATTATTATTTATTACGTTTCACTTTAATGTTTGCTAACATTTATGAATTTTGTATGCGAGATAATAATAAAAGAAATGTTATTAATAATTAATATTTTTTCAAATAATTATTGTAAGTAATTAAATGCGCTTTTTTAGGTTTGTATATTTATAAGAACGCAATTTATATAAATAAGCAATATAATTATCTTTGGAAGTTTATTTAAAACATATTTTGTTTTGATAGAATTGTAATTATTCGAAAATATAAAAAAGAAAATTTTGTAATTTTCATATGTTACGTATAAATTGAATTTAATATCAATTTTCCATTATGATTACAAATTACTTAAGTATTTGATACGAACGTTTGTATAATTTTTAATATTAAAATTGAATGTTGAATTATCTTTCTACGTTTAATTTTTTTAAAAATTAATATTCTATATTCTATAATATTGGAATATTATTTGGTGGAATATTATAATACAAAATGTTAAAACTTACCAAACATATTTAGTTATGCTATCAGCCCAATATTCTAAAAATAATCACCATCACAATAAATTAATTTTCACAATAAATTAATACAAATAAATCACAAAAAAACTATTTTTCACTATTTTTTTAATCCTTGTTTGTTCCTTCTTTTTGCAGTTTTTCGTATATGTGTTCCCGCCAATTAAAAAATTTCAACGAATATGATGGAGCTACTATCTACATTTAAAATTTATAGTCGCACAAAAAAATTAAATTAAAAATTTAAATTAAATTATTCATAGTATATTAATAAATTAAATTAAGAATTTATAAATTGTCAATAATAATAATATCATTAATTAATAATAATATCAAAATAGAAAATATAATTATTTTAGTAATTTCTAGTTTTATAATTCGATATGCCACCTGTTGGCAATTTATTGAAAAAGTGCAAATGTAATGACAGATGTATATTTACCATATCAATTATAAAAATGTATCATGTTTAATGCAACATCGTTATTATTGTGATTATTAAAATAAAAAACTGACAAGTGTTGTTCCATTGAATAAATATTTGATAAATTCCATTAAATGTTCTATTTAATACATATTCGTATGCGATTGTAAATATCGTAACATAACCAATCTATTCAAAAGACAAAATGAACGCATCACAATAGAGAAAATAACTGGATATGTAATATACGCGATAAACAGAATTAGCTCGTAATGACGTCGTATAAAAGTGGCAAAGGAATAATTGCAACCCATTTTAATCAGGTCGCAGTAACATTTTACAATAAGCTAACATAAATTATCATGTTAATATATTTTATGCTTCATTATACCGAAAATACAAGTTCGCTTCGTAACATTTATGTTTCAGTACAAATTGAATGAATATGAAGGTATTATATTGTTTTTTTGCAAAACGTATTTTCGAGACTAACAAATATGAAATGATTTTTTTCGTGAAAGTGATAAAATTGGTGCAAATCACAAAAAATAGTCGATTTTTTTTGCGACGTGAAAATATTAAATTATATTCCTATGGGTCTTCGATTCTATGGGATGCAAGCGCAGCGGGGGTGAAGGGCATCTGAGATCAGTAATCAATATTTAATCAACTTTCCAGGAGAATATTATTCTCCCGACAAATCAAGGACATATGTATCAGACCGCTAAGGGGGGTTGACGTTCTCTCTCTCTATTGATATAAAAGACGAAACGCCGTTTATACGAGTGTGCGAGTGTTTACACGCGCATTCATGTTTACTGTATTCCCATTGACGTAGATATTAAATTCTTATTGTCAATGATAATTTTTTCATGACAAATGTTTTTTTCCAGTAAATCAATCAATTACTTATTTATCTGCATAATTTTTAAATAATTATCTTAATAATTAAATATTATTCAAATGAATATAAATATATATAATAATAATATAAATATTTAAATATTATTATCTATATTTGTTTTTTTAGTTGTTTTTAATTTTAAAAATTTAATTATTATAATTTTTAATTTATTTAATTTATTTAATTTATTTAATAATTACAATAATTGAAATTATAAAAATTTTAATAATGTAATGGTGAAATGAAATTACATTTTTATATTTTAACAATAGCAATTTTATATTACTATATATTTCGATATCGTAATTTTTTTAAAT